ATTTATTTATTTATTTATTTATTAAAATACATTTTTATTGATTTCAGAAAGGAAGGGATAGGGAGAGAGAGATAGAAACATCGATGATGAGAGAGAATCATTGATCGGCTGCCTCCTGCAAGGCCCCTAATGGGGATAGAGCCCACAACCTGGGCATTTGCCCTTGACCAGAATGCAGGCCAATACTCTATCCACTGAGCCAAGCAGGCCAGGGCTTCTGAACTCTTTTAGATGCAGGGAGAAACACCCTGGCAACTCTCAACAATAAAAATCAATTAGAAAAAAAAAGATTAACTGGAGCCCTAAGTTTTGCTACTGGTTGACTCACACATTTTCTAATCACTTACTTTCTATGTGCCAGACTTTGGGGATAATGAGATGAACAGGTCTTAGAGCCTGCCTTCAAGCAACTGAACTTAGGGATAGGGATATAATAGCCAAACTCATAGAATTGTTACAACTTGTTTCTTCGTGTGCTTAGAAAAATGCATAGAAAGTGGTCAATTATATGAATTATTATTATTATTGATGAAATTAACCATTTTGGAGTTTAGGAAACTACCATCGCCTGTGGAATTACATTCCATAGGTAATTCTCTTAAAGCTCAGAAACAGACTGAATTCTCACTGTTCTCCCTCCTCAGCACACCCCATTTCTACATCCTGCTGAGTTATGCATAATTTTTCATACCATGTTCCATAATTTTGTTTAATATTATGGAGGATGGATTCCATAATGGAGCCAAACTCAATGATACTGGAAAATTCACTCTCGTAGAGATTACGAAAGCCAGCAGTATGCATGGCCACCAATGAACCTTTTGAATCAAACACTGGTGAGCCAGAAGACCCAAAGTAAAAACTGGTGTCATAGGTAACCACATCAGGGCTGGGAACAATTTCCTGGAAACTTCTTTGAGTGTACATATGGATATACTGCATGTTGTCATCATAACCCCCAGCCTGAAGATGTTCCCGATATTTCTGTACTCGCTGACCCTGAGGGATTACAACACAACCATCAGTAGACTTTACCTCCCATCCTGGATAGCCAATAATATATATCAACCCACTAAGTGGAGCAGGACCAATTCCATTATATAGTCCAACAGGTACTTGTTGTCCATCTTCCTTCAGTTTCAGAACAGCATAATCAAGAGGTACATCAGATATCTCAAACCAAGGTTCAACGGAAAAATACTCGTTTTTTTCTTGTCTATCTTCGTAACCAAATGTCACCCTTACACATTGACTAATTATGTCTGCCCAGTTACTTGGCTCTATTCCATCTCCTACAATGTCACTTATTACATGCCGACAAGTAAAAATGTACAACTCTGCAAAAACAAAGCAGGTGGCACAACCCTTGTTCCCATTGTTGTCCCATTCTATGTGCCCAACTGAGTCACTATGACGAGAAAGAAGTTTGAGTATTTTAACTGGGATAGAGTTTTTTGTCTGTTTCCCAAAGTTCGTTTTATGTGCATGATATATTGTTTTCCCCTTTCTTGTTTTCAATTTCCTTTTGAAGCTTGCTCTAATTTTTTCAGTTTCTCTTTTCAAACTAGGGTATTGGGTCACAATTTCTTCTTTCAACCAGTAGGTGTTTCTTTCCTCCAACTCCGAATTCTGAGAGTCTGCCGAATCAAAATTCTGAGTGGTTGCCGAAACACAATTCTGAGTGGCTGCGAAATCAAAATTCTGAGTGGCTGCCGAATCAAAATTCTGAGTGGCTGCTACCTTAGAGACCCCCCTTTTCTCAACCTCAACCTCAAAGAACTTGCCCTCTAAGTCATCAACTCGCTGTGTGCTTTCTACAATGGATTCCAGGTTTTCAATGAGTTTCCAATCAGCAGTCTCCAGAAAGGGAAGAAATCTGCTGTCCTTGCACACAGCATCCTTGACGGTTTCTCCTTTGAAAGCATAGACGCAGAGTTTGCACCCATCTTTGTGAAGTTCCCCGCATTTGACAATCCTTTTTCTCTTCTTCCCAATTGCATGGATAAAAAATTTGACACAGTCAACAGATGCCTTGTCATGCCGGCCAAATATCTGGTTCCCTTCTTTCTGCTTACTTTTACTCTGGGCAAATGTAATTTCCAAGTGGCAGTTTTCAGGAAAACAACTGAGGGGCATTCCAAGGTTTATGTAGCCTTCAATTCCTTCTATGCCCTTAACCAGCATTTCTCTGCCTTGCTTTCTTTCTCTCTCTTCTCTAACAGCCTTAAGAGTGTCAAGTGCCACGGATAAGCTAGCCCTCTCACTATGTGTGAGCCGGTATTTCATGGTTTTGTTTTTCCTCTGGTGTACACCCAAGGTAATGTAAAGTACCTTATTTGGGGATATAGCCTGGTCTTCAGGTCCTTGAGCCTGGGTATTAGTTATAACATTTGGTTTTCTTCTGGAGCCTGTCTTCACTTGAGGAATATGGGGATTATCCTCTTCTTCTTTTTTGACCTAAAAGGAAATATTAAGACTGTAAAACTATGGAAGCAACTCTTGTCTTGTGTTTCTCTTTTTAGTATGCAATTCACAAAATTTCTCTAGAAAACTCAGAACCAATCTCCAAAGACCAGTGAATAGAATTAAATTAAAGTTTGAGTTGAGAGCCAAAATATAAGCTGAGCTTCCTGTCCCATCAATTATATAAGCCTTTAATTGTGCCAGATTGGTGCATTTTTTTTTCCTGAGAAATAGGAAAGAAATAACTGTTTCTAGGTCCATAAAAAACAGAGATGCTTCAAAGTCTGCCAACTCTCTTACAGAGTTCTATCAGGTCTCTGTAAAATTTTTACTTTTACTAATCACAGTGATGGACTGTACCAAAAATTTGTTCTTATAGCACCAAACTCAGCAAGAATAAGGTACCATGGTTTATTATTGGGCATTTAATGTTAAACAAAACCATCACCAGTTGAACTCACTATTTCTTCATAATAATAGTAAAACCCTGATTCACCCAACATCTTTCCTGAAAAGAATTCAACTTATTTCCTTGATTACATCAACTTATTCCAAAATCCTATGAAATAAGAAGCAGCAAATATGGCATCTCTGTTCTTTTGATGGAGAAACCGAAGCACAGAAAGTTTTTCCCCTAAGTGCCTTTCTTAGGGTTATATAATAACCAATTAATGAAGAGTATCAGAACTCCCATATGTAGTCTAATATTTTCCCATTAGACTAATGTAAGTTTCTGTAAGTTTTACATCCACAGTTCCTGTTTTTATAGGGCATTACCTTAAAAACCAGGGATGGGGGAGGGGAGAGGAATTACATGAGGAGGATTAATCCAATAGCAGAAATTTAATAAAAAATTAGGAGCATCTGATCCTATGTCTAAAAAATACATATTGGCCAAGAATCATTTATTATGACATGAGTGGAAACAGATGCCACTTGCTGGTATTGGGAATAATAATGCCAGGATTAAGTGTAACATCCTGTGTGACAATCCCTAGCACAGTGACTGGCACATTAGTGAATTAACGTTTATTTTCCTTCTTTGTAATGGTACTAACAGTCTGTATTAAAAAAAATAGAAACATAAGGTAATATAAATTAACTAGAGGCCCGATGCAGAAAATTCGTGCAAGGGCCTGGGCCCTCACAGCCCTGGCTTCATCAAAACGGTCTTTCTGCTGTTTGGTCTAATTAGCATACTATCTCTTTATTATATAGGATTCTGGGCATATATATGAACTCTGAAAGAGCATCCCTCCAGCCTAATGCTGTCATCTTTCATGAAATTCCCTGGTCTTAACAATAGTCTTAGTTTCCTTCCCAACAGCCACAACTTGAAAAAGAATGCATTTGACCATCGTCAAAATTTTCATATGGGCATAATAGCTGATCATTTTCCCCAGTAGAGGAAGTATCATTTTCTTTCTTGTTCCCCTTTCTTTTATCAAATAATATTTTTATTTTATTTTTTTTTGTTTTTGTTTTTAAAAAATATATTTTATTGATTTTTTACAGAGAGGAAGGGAGAGGGATAGAGAGTTAGAAACATCGATGAGAGAGAAACATCGATCAGCTGCCTCTTGCACACTCCCCACTGGGGATGTGCCCGCAACCAAGGTACATGCCCTTGACTGGAATCAAACCCGGGACCCGTGAGTCCCCAGGCCGACGCTCTATCCACTGAGCCAAACTGGTCAGGGCTATCAAATAATATTTTTAAATGAGACTGTGGAGGGAGGCACTTGAGAGGCATTCCTAAATTTACATGTCCTCCTATTGTTTTCTCTTCATAAGCAATAATGTTCTTATTTAAATGCTTCTTCATCCTTTCACTGAAACTTTCATTAGCTTTCAGAGCTGAGAAAATATTCTCACTGAGTTCACCAGATGCTGTATTTTCACTATGGTCTAATTTTCAGGATATATTATCCCCAGTAAAAGTGAAATTACGTCTTTCACTGATTATACCATTTGGGTTCCGAGTTTTAAGAGATGTTTCATGCCCACTCACTTCGCATTTAAGTGCAATGGTGCTGCTGCATCCTCTGTTGTCAGATGGAGAATGATCATCATGTGTGCCAGCACACGACTGCTCCATGCCAGTATCCTTAAGAAAGGAAAGATGAAACTTTCTATCAGAATCACCCTAAATAATAGTGTTTCATGTCCTTATAATTGGAAAAGTAATCGATAATATGATGGATAGGGAGAATGGAGAAAAATGTCAATCATTAGTTCATTGCCAGAGATAAACATTATGTATTTTGTTTTCTCCCCTAAGATTTAATATGCAGATATAAATCTTATGTTACTTAAATGATATTATTCTGTCTAAGAGTTGATTTTTCACTAAGCCATCCACCAGTGCTTTCACTTCTGCAGAAAACTTTTGAAAACACAATATATTTTCGTGTACAATAATTTTTAATCCATTCCTCTTTGCTATATATATATTTAGAATGTTTCCAATATTTTACTACTCTGATATGATAAACAGGTCTACACTTAAAACATTTCTGTCTGCCCATCTGATTATTTCCCTAGGCCAGATTCCTGGCAGTGGAAATACTGAGACTAAGCTTATAAATGTACTTCACAACAAATCCACTGCCAAACTGTTTTCCAGAAAAGTTGCATCAACTCACCCCCATTGTCCAACAAAATTAGTGTGTGGTTTAATAATAATAATTTCAGTATTATCATTTTAAATGTTTGCCAATTTGTAGATGAAATGTCATCTAATTTGACTGTTTTTAAAATCTGCATTTGTTTAGTGACTAGTAAAGCTGGACATACTTAATACATCTTTTGGACATTTGAGACATCGTCTTTCAAAAATTCCCATTAAATTCTCTGTTGAGTTACTATTGTGTATATGGTATCAACAGCACTAAAGAAATATAATAAAATGCTTGATAAATCACAATATTGGCTAGATATACAGACAGGTATACATATTCAAATACAAATGAATATACATATTCATATACAAATAAATAAGCATTCTAAAATCACTTATGTCTGGCTCAGTTTAATATTAGCATTTTGCCCATTTTTGGATAAAAAAGTGTGTGGGTCAAAAACTGGGCTCTGATTGATTGTCTGGGTTCAATATCCTCACTCTGAAGTCCATTGCTTTTGTGACTTTCTGAAAGTTGGGTTTCATTGTTTTTTTGTTTTGTTTTGTTTTGTTTTTCATTTGTAAAGAAGGGATGGTGAAAACATGTACCACAGAGAGTTGCATTTAATATTAAATGAGATAATCCATAGGAAGTGACAAGCATAATTCCAGGTACATAAAAATTTGTCAGTATATATGAGCTCTATTACTATTTAGGCCTGCCTATATTTCTAATATTAAGTGTCTATACTGTTGATTAGCCAACCCTGTCTTAACAAGGCATTTTTTTTGCATTGTTAATTCATACACTATCATTTCATGTTATAGAAACACATACGTGGGTGATGTCCCAAAACATATTTGGAACAACACAAGCAGGGACCGTAACTGCCTTTCTTTATGAGCAGTCCCCTCCAAGGACCCAATGTAGCACCATGGCTGTAGAATGCTGTTCCAGCCAAGAGGTGTAAAGTGCAGACATACCTGTGAAACTTCAGGTCTGGTACTCTGGTCATATTCAGTAGTACTGAGTGACGTGTTCTCTTCACGTTTCACGGGGTTCATGATGAGTGCCAAGAGAATCTAACACACTTCCCCTACTGGCAAGATGAAGAGACAGGAATGGGCTTATCCTCACACTTGAAAGGACTAAAACAACACAAGATATACAAAATGACAGCTTTCAAATACTGGTCAGCAGGCAGCTCAGAGCCATGACCTCTGATCCCTGAGAGTGGGCGTGAACTGAGGTACCCCACGGATGTCTACCTCCATGTCTGGGACAGTTTCCAGGCCACAACTCAGGGTGGGGAGCCTGGCTGTTTCCCAAATTGAGAAGACAAGCTGAGGGTCATGGGAGGCCTAGGTGGTTCAAGTTTGTGAGTCAGAGTGTTAGAGAGAAGAGAGCAGCAGCTATACAGACTGACAGATGGAGAGTTGGAGACCTGCAGTGTGTTCCCCTAGAAATTTCAGCTAAGTCTCTGTCAGTGCATGGCAGTGATGAAACTGTTGGAAGCCAGAGGAAGAACTCCACAAAGGGAAAAGATAGAACAATTCTGAGGTGCAGACAAGGCTGAGAATAGTTTCTGTGCCCAAAGGTCCAACTAGAAAACTTTATAATTCGTGAGCTACTGAGGCAGAGTACTCAGAAAGCTACTGCCTCCACAGCTGGACAGAACCAACCCTTCTGCAAAAGGCTGCTATGGTGCCACCTGACAAACTTGAAAAGCAAGATTTGCAAGGATACAACTGTTTCCAAGGACAGTAACTGTGTGTGAGAACAAAGCTGAAAAGCATTGACAGGACTACAAGCATCTCTAGCCCCCAGGCCCCCCCCCGCCCCAAATATAAAAGTAACAAAGCTTGCTCACCAATTAAAAATTATCAGGCGTAAAAAGAAGCAGGAAAATATTGCCAATAATGTGGAGAATGATCAATGAACAGAAAGAGACCTAGAAGTGACACCTGTGGCAGACTGGTAGACAAGAACATTAAAGCAGGTATTACCTCGGATTTCTGGCCAAATGGAGTGACAGGGACCGAATTTACTCTCCTATCTGAAAACAAAACAGGACAAAATGGGCAAAATATATGAAACCCTGATTGGCAAGGAACTGGACACCATGCAGTTAGGGGCAGTCACAAGTGAAGTGCACCCTGTGGTTACAGGGGTGACTGCCTGGAGACATTCCAGGCCAGGCTGCAAGGAGGGGCAGCAAGGCAGAGCGGGCTGGAATTCCTGTTTTGAGGAGATAGAGCTGACAGACCAAGGTGGTCTCTGTTCACAGGACACAGAGAGTTAAGTGCAGAGGGCTCCCCTCATGTGTTCAGCTGAGAAGGCACAGGGCAGCAATGGTGGAAACTGCCTGAGGATGGGAAAGAACCCCTCTCCCCTAATAACAACAACAACAAATACAATTAGATGGTATTTTCCACAAAACCTCTCTCTACACACCACCTGGGCATCTCAGTTTCCTCATTTGTAAATTAAGGAGTTTGGCTGATTAAACTTTGTGCCTGTGAACTCCCAGCTGTGGACCTGTGACAAAGGAAGGTAGGGGATCCTAACCCCAAGATCACCAGGCAGTACTTCTGGAGTGCAGTTCTGCAATTTGCACTTTAACATACACCCCACCCCACCCCAGCTGCTCACAGCAGGTCTGTTGAAACAGCTGCCTGCACTGTCTCAAGTGACTTTCCGGGTGTAAAACTCTTGACCTTGAAGGCAGGGAGCTGGCAGGGGGTTGCTACAATGGGAAGCTGCCTATCCATTCCTAGCCAACCACTCACCGGAAAATGCCTCCATGTCAACCACCCCTTAAAAACTGCAGGTCCCACTCGAATGCAAAATAACCACTCACAGAAGCAGAGAATCTGCCCCAAAGGTGCTGGTGACCGCTGCACTGGGACTCACAACAACTGCAGGGATGGCGCTCAGTGGGCTGTCAAAAGAATCTCTGCCGCGCAGCCTGTAAGTGGAAAAGCCCGAGCAATAGACGGGGGGCATCGCTTCTGGCCAATAGATGGTGAGGTAGCGGCCGCCACGGAGGGAAAGGACACGCCCGCGCAGCCGCCCTAGCCATCAGGAAGATCCCGCTGCGTCCCTCCCACCCACTCGCTCCCACTCGCGGTCCAACGCCAGCTTCCGTTTTCTGGACAAACTTTGAGCAATTGTGCCC